GAACACTGACACCCGTCCATCAGTGCTACTCATATGCTGTATAGAGTACTCATAATCCAAGACGTTCCCATGTACAGCCTGTACCAGTATCTATCTATCTATCTATCTATCTATCTATTGATATAACTTTATTCCAAAGTTCAGCCAATATGAATTTATATTTACTGAGCTCCAGTAGTGAGTCAGTGGAGTGAATCATGGGAAGGCATAAAAAAGGCTTCCTGCTCACAATGGGAAATATGCTTGACCTTTACATTTATATTGTTCAGCTTTTGGATATAAAAACTTTTCCTGCCCTACTGTATATGGCCCTATCATTCAGAGAGAAATGCCTGAAACCTTGATTCTATGAAGAAAAAGAGAAACCGAAATATTAGCACAAGGCAACTTTATGTTCTCTGTCAATCTAGAGGTCAGATATCAGAGCGAGAGATGACAGTTTTATCAGGACGACAAATGGCAGCGCAGACGGGAGAAGAAGCTCACCCTGAAGAACAACAACCCTAAAATCTATGGTTTGGGAACTGGATTGACCAGGTCCAGTTTGAATGAAATGGAGGTCACATAATTGACACCAGGTAATTTAATGGCAGATATAGTATGGTGCAATCATAACACCTAAAGCATAAGGCTATTGGTAAAAATAAAATACATTGCAGACTATAATTTTAGTTATTTTTATTTTTTACATAAATACTTCACATAAATTCTTTGAAATTTCAAACAGGCAGCAAGGGAAACTGAGATTTGAACAACTTTACACTCAGTAGTCTGCATACACAGTGATTAGTGTCCTTGTAGCCCGAGGCAAAAAGGTTTATTTGCAGAACCACCAGCATTCAAAGTTAAAGGGGTCATTAAACATTTATTCCTTATTTACTATGTTTAAAACATCTTTCCTATAACTGTAAAAGGCATTTAAATTTGAGGGCATCTTAAAAGAGTCATACAAACAGTAAAACATTGATGGGACCGCAGAGTTTGTGTGAAATGAGGCGAGAACAGCATCAAACCTTGTAATGTGACACACAATGCAGGTACCCTATTCTAAAAGCTTTATTTTCCATTATTCCTTTGTTTTTAACAATATATTATCTTGCCTTTAACCCACTGAGCCTCTTTGTTGGGGGTCACACTTGGTACCTTCATAGTCATATGATTTAAGCCTTGAAATTTAACTTTTTTTCTAGTCTATCTTTAATTATCAATCTAATATATTTTTGTTCAGTAATATTTTAACTATTATTTAGAATTTTATCATACTATTGTTATTATAGTATCCAAAATGTATATTTCTACAAAATGTAGATTTTTAATTAAACATTCGAAAGGTAAAAATGTTCGGTCAAAAGTGACCAAAGAGGCCCAGAGGGTTTTTAATATAGTTGGTTGTGTTATATCACAGGGAAAGTCAAGCGTATTACATTTTATTCTGAACAAATGAAATCAAATCTTAACTATCCCATCAAATCATTTGATGAACTTTTTTTTTTTATATACATTTTTTAATATAATATTTTTTTATCATAATTTTTAGTATCATTTATCTTATTTCAGAATTTATATACTAGTATAATAGAGTATTTATTAACATGAATTAGCTTTCATTTTTATATTTTCAGTTTCAGTTTTAATTTAGTTTTCTATTTAGTTTTAATACATTTTTATTTAAATTTTAGTACTACTAATTCAGCATTTTCATGCTAGATTCCAATGCAACATTTTTCATTTTTCATCTAATATTTACATTTTATTTTATTTTATAATTTAAATGACCAGAAATAATTTTTAATAGCTTTAGTTTACAATAACAAACAAATGGTGGGATATTCTGGACATTTAAATGGACAAAATGAGTATTTTGTCTTTCAGAAGAACAATACCATATGAATTACCTCAAAGCTAACTGACATAGACTAAAATCAGAAAAGTGTTATTCTGTAGCAGATGCATTCAATTTAACGTAATGCTTAAGTCTTGAAAACAGGAAAAGTCCAACGACGTCTTCAATAAAACACTTGGTTACCTCTTATGCCTCTTAAACCAAGAACTTTTTTCACAGATTCACAGATGGCAGTTGGACATTCACGCAGACGTAGAAGCATGAAATGTAATAATAACACAAAAGTGCACAGTCTGTGATCACAGCAGGTATCGGAGTGGGGAGGCGCGGATCCTCGCTTGGAGGTACAATTTATTCTTCTCCAACTTGAAAAGTGGCTTCAAAAGAGTGAGGAATTAACAGGGTGAGACGAAGTGTGTGAATGTGTGGGACTGGATGTAGGATGACTCAGAGACATCAAACACTTATCCCCTATAGCTGCCCCTTCCAAAAAACACATGGCACAAAGGGCTTTATTCAAGCCACGAAACCACGGTATGTTTCAGAGGTCGGTCTTACGCAAAAGTTCAAAGAGCAAAACTTCAGACAATGTTCCAAGTGGAGACCACTGGAACATCTTATGCTCATCTTGGGATGAAAGCAACCAATGATCACGGAGAATATATGTGAGAATAAGCCCAACTCAGAATCGACGCCATATTTAATCTGAAGTGAACAAAACTGACGGAAAAAGATAGTCTGTTCAATGTTGCATAGTTGGGTACTGGCGTGTTTGATTATTCATCTGACGATACATCTGACTAATATGTTTTGTCCACTGAAATGTGTAGAAAGATGTTTTCTATTGTTCCGCTCCAAAATCTAGCAAGATTACTACATAGGCAGCATTGAAAGGCATCACTCCTGATGCATAATAATGCATTCAAGACATTTTGAAAAGACTGAATTTACGACAAGTATTTAGCACATAAATGGCACAAAAGTCATTATAATTAGGAAATTCTGTATTTCTTATTTATTTATTTTTTTTCTTCCAAGTTGGGTACGTGTGAGTGAGAAAACATGGCAGATGCAATAAATACAGCATCTGTATTGACAGCTAATTTTTTAAATATTTTTTCAAAAAAATAAAAAAAAATAGCTATGTTGCATGTACAAAATATGATAGTATGGACAGTTAGGCAACAATACAATATACAATTATTCGTTTTAAAGCACCTTCATAATTGAATAAAAGCATAAAAAGCAAAAACACACCTGAGAAAATACTAAATATTTGTGCACTATGTATTTATGCTTCATTGATTAAGCATATTTAATGCTTGTTACCCTTACAAAAATTAACCATGGTTTTATTATAGTAAAAGTGTATTAACTATGTTTTTTGCCATATTGATTACTATTTGTATAACCACATTTTTACTACAAATACTATGGTTAAACCATGGTTAATTTGATGTTACCATGATTTAACTATAGTAACCATAGGTTTTGGGTTTTATTTGTAGTAAAACTATGGTTAATTTTACTACAAATGACTGCGGTTCCGCCCACTGAGTGGCAAAAAGACTAAATGGCAGCACTGGTTTTCAGCATGAATGCTGTGACAACCCACAAAACACATCTAAAACGAGAAAGAGCTTTACGATTGACTGTACAAATAGATTTGACAAGAAATCTGAGGTATATTTTTACAGACTGCCGAAAGCTACAGAAAAGAGAAACAAAGGAATCACTGCAATTCGCAGAAACAAATGGACTTCAGGCAGCGAAACACGAATTTGCAGTTATCATTTTATGTTAATATGTTGAATTTTGCGGTAAAATCATACCGTATATATTGTATTGTTACATATCGTATTGACAACTCACCAAATAAATATTTACCATCTTATATCCTGCATGGATGTTTTTAAATAAACACTGACAAAAACTATATACGTTTTTGGGCTGGACGATATGACGATATATATAACATTGATAAAGTGATCACCCGGATTTAGACCAACCTATTTTGTATTTACAAAATGCGTTCACAGGCAAATTTGCTTTATGTATTTCCCCGGCGTTGAAATCAGGCACATATAAACATCCTGGCTGCATATCAATATCCATGGACCACTGGATATTTGGTAAGTTGTAAGGAACGCTATATCAGTCCAACAACCTTTAGTTTAAACTGATAATCGTTTGTTTTCGCAGTTTCCCCTATTAAATCCATTCATTCAGCAGGCTCTTTTGCCACTCAGTCCGGCTGAGGGGGCGTGTTCCGGTGTACCCTCTATACTGAAACCACTTGCATGTTCAGTCCAATTGCTCAGTTTCTGCCAATGTAGACTGTTCCTAATCAGTCACTTTTGGTTCCATGGAGGTTAGGTTGTTAGTTTACTACGGTTTGGAACAAAGCTAATGTTTGTTGACTAACCAACCAACATCTGTAACTTCTAAAGCAGTAAAGTCTTGAGGTAAAAGCACTGGAATGGCAACTTGTTGTACAGGCATTGAAATACAAAGTGGGTAAAGTCTGCAGAAATAAATCTCCAACTAAGCTTTATGTGTACTTGCCCTAACTGCAGTGCCAGGACCTTCAAAGCCTTCTGGCACACTCAAATCTGGCATTTTCATTTGGCACAGTCGCATACCCCCACCAACCTCTCCGCTCTATCAACTATAGGATGGGAGCAGTGATTGTTTATTTACTATTTACAGAGGAAAAACCCCACTACTTCCTGCTCATTAATAATTGACATGTTTGAGTTGGATGAGGTACAAAGTCACACTCCCTCTTTGTCTTCTTCCCTCCAGGATGTGTGTTAATATGTGAGGCCGCTGGGCAGACTGTGTGTTTGTGTTGTGTGTCAGAGCAGACAACAGACTGCGCTCTCCTAACGGCGGTCTCTCCTGCTTGAGCACTTTCTGTTTTGTCCCTCCCTGCTGAACTTCAGGTTATCAGTGGAAACACACTCAGTTATCTTATGCTACATTCTGTTCTTGAACTTGAAAAGGAGAAATTTCCAACTTCTTACTCAGAAACTTAATTTTACATATTGTTGGAATATCCCTCATCCGACAACACTCAATGAACAATTTCTCCTTCTGTGTTAAGGAATATCCTATTAAAACAGGGAATATAGTATATGTATATACTTTGTCTTACCTGGCAACACCAGAGGTAGAGGGGGTTTTGTGCACTGTATCCTGTGACTTAATGACTTTTCCCAGCTGATACCAAATCCCCAAACCATTCAGCTCACTGTGGACAAAAACAGCTTGTTTTATTATCATGAACATTTAAAATTATATGTATGCATACACTATTGTCTGAAAGTCTTTATTCTATTTTTTAAAAGAAATTAAGGACACAACAAATTGATCAAAAAGTGACACTAAATACATCTATAATGTTACAAAAGACTTTCAAATAAATTCATTGTTCTTTTGACCTTTTTATTCATCAAATAATCATGAAAAAATGCATCTCAGTTTCCACAAGACTATAAAGAAGTACAACTGTTTTCAATGGGTGGGCAATATACCGGTAGACATGATTAACCGATAGAAATCTGTCAACTGGTAGAGATTTTGGACTATAGTCTCTATCGCGGTTACATGCTCACGTGGTGTTGCTGTGCTATCATTTGTACACATTTTTTTAAGCACTGCGGTTTAAAAACAAATGAATTTAAGCCGTTGAAATGCAAACAGCAGTGAGAGAGAACTCATTTCGCTATATGTGCGCGCTGTCTGAGAGACTGTTTCTGAGCACTGTCAGCGAGGCACGTGCACATGAAGACGGTGCTCATAGAGTGCGGGAGTATTGAACTGTTATTTTTGCTGCTTTATAGGCCTTGAATGGTTAAATACACACACTGTATGTGTCAAAATGCCTGTCTTTGCAAGAATCCCTGTAAACACAGTAACTTAGGTATTAAGTGAAAGCAAACAGCTGAAAAAGAAAACATGTGTAACAGTATATTGGCAGCTCTTAAAGTGACAGCAGTCTAATATTCCTGCTGTCTGTCACTCATGTTAATCAAACAACAAAAAGGGAGAAAATCTCCTATTGCTCTTGACTAAATCACTTTTGTAACTTTACTAAGGAGAAATATATATTTAATTTACACAGTGAAGAATTTTTAGGCATTTGCATTTCTTATTTCTTTGTTCTACTGTATTTTTTTTTTGTCCTATTGCTGGTAATTAGTTGCTTATTCTTATTTAATCTTATTTTATGACTGTTTACTTGTCTTCAGTGAGTTTTTTTTTTTTAATTTAGGTTATTCGTTTTTTGTGATATTTGCACTGGTGACAAGAATCATGAAATTTCTATTGTATCCAAATTATGTTATTTATGTCCAGTTATTTCAAGTAAAAATAACTATACTGTGAAATATTGTTACCGTGACATAAATGTATTCATATCGTGATTTTGGTCATATCGCCCACCCTTACTGTACATAATAATGAGAAATGTTTCCTGAGCATCAAATTAGCATATTATAATGATTTCTGAAGGATCATGTGACAATGAAGACTGGAGTAATCACAGGAACAAATTACATTTTAAAATATATTAAAATAGAAAAGTTATTTTAAAATGTAATAATATTTCACAATATTACTATTTTACTGTATTTGTAATCGAGCTTTGATCAACATAAGAGTATTTAAATACATTTAAAAAAGGTCTTACATTTGCTGACCTCAAACTTTTGAACAGCAGCGCCCTAAACAAACAATACTTGCTCACTCTATATGGTATGAAACACCATATTGTCAATAAAATACTATATAATGTTTGTAAGACATATCAGGGGTGGCTTTAAACACTGTCAGAAGAGCAGCACCAGTAAAGCAAGCGCACATAATGCCTGTAGCAGGCCGCAGGCACTGAGGTGCACTAGAGGAAATAGGAGCCAGTCAAAAAACACACACACAGACCAGAAGAACAATCCACTTCGGTTTAAAAATGATGATTCAGACAGCATAATAAGCATGGCTCCAGGATATTTACTATGGTACTTCTTTAACCTCACAGGGAATAGTGACCAAACCATCTGCATCAAATACACACACATAACTCTCAAAAAAAGCATGCCATGCTTGTCATACCAAAGATATGATATCTTACCCTGTAAATGTATAATTAGTGAGGCTGTGCTTTGATTTCCCCTGTATAACCACATCGCATATAGCTGTATCAGCGCTGTGCCTGGGGACCAACTTCACACACAGTCTCTCCTTCCTCAAAGCCTGCTCCTCTGAGAGAGAAAGAGATATAACAGTCATAACATAAACAGCCCTAATTATGTCTTTCATTTATCAGCAGTCTAACTGCATTTAAACCAGATTGCTTTTATATGCCACAGTCCCATATACTCATATCTAAAACCTACATTATGCATCAATTCCCCCACAAACATTGCCTGACCTATTTGTCCTTGGGAAGCCTTATAAACAATGACACAACAATATATGTACAAAAACGACCTATTTCCTAACAATTTATTCAGAGAGACAAGCTGAATATATGTGTGCATTAATATTTGAACACCACATAAATGCAACCTATGTGATGTTTTGAGGCTCAAGGCACATATAAGTATATGAAAGCCCATCATAATTGCATAAAAATGTCATTGGGTGCTAGAGGGGAATCTTCAGCATCAAATATGTGTGTAAGAAGGATATAAGGGACTTGACTGAGAGTGAAATGGCAATACAGTGGCTGAGGCATCTATTAAACATGGCTTTGCTACAATAAAGCTGCACATTAAAACCAGCGCCCAATGAGACTCCGTTTTCTTTTTAGTCATTCCTCCAGAACCCGCTACTAGACTCGGCCATATTACTCCTGAGCCCATCCCATTCGTTTCGAGGCGGCACTGGGCGAGGGCCGTGTAAATGCAATAATAATGAAAATAATAAACATGCTGCCCTCACTCCCAATGCCAAAATAATATTGCGGCGTTCTCAAAGGCGCGGTGAGAGGAGAAGAGAGAAGACGAGAAGGGGAGAAATACATAGCACTCAAAAAGCACTAAAGCATCAAGGGAATGCATTTCATTAATATTAGATAACCACCATCCACTCCCGCTCTGCACAAATAAATACATAAATAAATAAGCACATCATAAAGAAAAGCTGGGTTCTGGCAGAGATAAACAATGACTCATCGTTCTCCTCTCCTCCTACCTCCGGGGCAAAATGTTTATTTTACTCTCTCGCACTATCATAAATTAAGCTAAACCTGAGCCCATGAAACATTCACATTCACAACCTCTGGAGAAGCACTCCCTCAGGATGACTACAGAGAGGAGAGAGAGAAAAAGAGAGGATGAAAGCAAAAAAAGACGGGAACTGTGCTTACGGGTATCCGTGGTGTCTTGGATCGGAGTGAAGCCCTCTGGCAAACAGTCCTTCAAGTCGATCAACTTCACATCCACGACCACATTGCATAATTGCTTCTGCCAAAAAAAAATAAAAAATAGGGACATAATAATGATTATATGAGTTTAAACCAATGAGCCAGTTCAATAAAGGCACTTCTAGAAGCGGGCGGCTTTCAATTATGCATGATCCGTACCTACAATGAAAAGGCTGCTGTAGTATTTCGCAGACGCGCACACACAAATTTGTTGAATCGCTGCCCTCTTTTAAGCATGCAAGCACCTGTGCGCTAGCCATCATCTTCAGACATGGCAGCCCAGCGCTCGGGCCAGTCGGTGGCAGGCCAAATTGCTTGTGCTTCAGAACAGGGAGTACTTGAAAACAATCAGGAGCTGTTTAGTTGACATTTTCAAGCATGACTTTTTCCCTTATAGCCTTCCCAGCCCGCACTCATTATGGTTCCATTTTTCGCCGTAATAAATAGCAATAATCCAGCAAAAGCCCTGAAAGAGTGCAGCTAGCGTGGCGTGACGTGATGAGTCTGACATTCTGGATGCCGTCACTACTGTTACCCGGCAGTTATTACCACTACAGACCATTTTTATTCATAGTTCTGACTTGAGGGTACGAATATGGATGAATGCTATTACTATGCATGAAGTAATGTTTTTTTAACCCTTTTTTTTTTATATAAGACGCGGGAGAGATTTTTCCCATCAGGACCTGACAAAGGGCCATCTACCTCCAACCCCGAGTATGATAAATCACAAACTGTTTACTTCCCACCACATAATTCACTGGCTAATTCTGTAGAATCTGTTTTTGTCATAGACAATTACAGTGGGGGCCACTTTGACTGACAGACAAAATAGCCTTTGTTGATGGCGCTGCCATGTTTTATTAGCGTCAGGGACTTCAAAACAGTGCAGACACACATTTTAAGACTCCACGCTGGAGAGGTGGCAGAGGGGAATGATGTGCTACATACTAAAACTGCAGCTCTCATTGAACTTGATCAACAGGCAGAAGCGTGCTGGAAATGGCCAGGGTAAACAACAGCGGATTACAACGTCATTTTTGAATCTCATAGCCATTATAGGGCTTAGGAGATGTAGTTTTACAGCTATGATAAAAATACAGCATTGTGACAGACAAAAACATTGTTTTTTTTTCTGGTCATGGGTCAATTTTGAGATTTTGGGCTATTTGGCTTTTCATAATGTGTTGTGAAACGAAAAAAAATAAATAAATCCAAAGTACACTTTAAATTGTTTATATTATTGCACTTTACCTATGTGCACATGTAGATTTCAATTACAATACATATCTTTAATGGCCATTTTCTCAAAATGTTCTTATGCACAGACATCAGAAATCTCCACTTCGAACTTTACAGTTTGATTCCTTTCTATATTCTAAGTTTTTTTTTTCTTTTTACAGAAGAGCTTGTTTATATATAATGTCCTTGATTTTATACAATGTTTTAATTCAGAAATGACAACCTGACAGTTGGTTAACAGTAAGTGACATCAGCAGGAAAGGAAAGTTGTTTGAGAGGAAGAAGTCTTTGCATTCTGATTAAAGGTTATATAGTCAAATAACATGCACTAATGAATCTTTCACACACTGTAAAAAATGATTTTTAGAAGTACTAAATAAAATAAAGATTACTGCAGTACATTGAAAATTTCATGTTGAATTCAATGTGTTACTTGCTGTTTCTTTGTAATTGCTTGTGAAATTTACTAGCAATTTTTGAGTGAAAACTGTTTGAATACCATTTTTTTTTTCAGTGGAACAACACTACAATCATGCATTAAGAAAATAAATAGGGTAAATTTAAGATTTTAAGAAGGGCCACACAGCATTTTTCAAATTAATAACTAACCAAAATGACTAACTGAATCTGGTTATGGCCAATAATCCTCAATATTGCCCAAAATTGCTGGTTTGCCCAACAATCTGTATCAGTAAACTTATGAGACATTTACATGTTTTAAAGAGAAACAAAATTTTCCTGCAGAGAGAAACATTTTTTTTAGACCAAAGGTTAATGTGAGATTAATGATTTACCATGTGATAAGGGTCTTGAATGTTTAACCACACGTGTGATATAGAGTATTGAGCGACCTTGAATGTGGCATTAAATACCACATTTATCATGACATTTATTAGTCTACAGAATAGGGGTTTTCAAACATTTTGATGCTACAATATGATGATACAATATGAAATATAAAAGTCAGCTATAACCATTAATAAAGGTGAAAGAAAACATTTATAAAGAAAATCATTAGATTTGGATTTTTAAAAAATAAAAACGTATTAAAAAATATTCATTAATTAATCAGTAAAATGTGTTTTGTTGCAACAGCACATATAAAAGAAAAAAAGGCAGATGCACTGGTGAGATGTAATACTGAATAACAATGACCCACCCAAACAAGCTCATCAGCCACAGCCTATTTTCACCATCCTCACAAACCCTATACAAGCAACCCGTCAGCATGCTAGACTCAATTATGAACACAAGGTCCATTTAAATAAATACATATTTTAGGAACTTTATTCCTAGACTGAGAACAAGTATAGAATGTTTCCCAAAAATACATATGTTATTCGTTGCCTTCGCTTACACAGCAAATGGAGGAATAATAAAGGTAGGGCAGCTCAAGCTCTGCATTGTTCACGTTAAATGAAGACTGGTAACCTGAACAACATGACTGGACCACCTGTTTCACTTTCAAGACAGATACATGCACATAAAAAGGTGCTCATTCGCAATTTAGCTCAGCCAAATGAGAGGTAAATGTTCAAATAGTTTCAATTCACAAAGGAATCTTTTAAAATATAGGTGCTCCTTTAGCAGACATGTTGGATGGCTGTTTGATGTGTCATATTTCATAGGCAAATTTGGACATTTTTTGGATGTTTTCTTCATCTTTGATGAATGGCAGGGAGGTATCCAAACTGTCTACAGGGACCAGGTTAATTGAGCCAAATGAAATCATAAACTACTAACGCGCAGAGTTGCATTTATGAATAATCATAAACCAAATTCCTTCGGGAGAACTGGAGATCATCAACAAATTTTCAAATGCAAGCATGCTGGGACTTCATACATCAAGTGGGAAAAAAAATTATCAAACCATTCTATATTCAGAGTAGTATTTGCATTCGGTTTAGATACTTCACTTTAAAGGATGGAACATATTTTGAAGGAGTTTGTGATCAAAGATCTGAGCAGAACCCTAATGAGGGACGGACTGAAGCAAACGGGGCAAACGCACCCTAACGGCGTGTGAAGAAACTGGAGAAAAACTTGCAATGAGCATGTTAAAACGTACACGTTTTCACTTACATTTTTGGAGGTGGCAGCTCGGGTGAAGCAGAGATAGCGTGTGACCTTGGATTTGAATATGCTGTCCTTCCACAGGTTGGCGTCGAAGCCATCTGTTGTTTGTGCAACCTACGTGAAAAGAAAAAAAAATACACAGAGAGGAGAATGTGCATTGCAGTGAGATCCAGTTAATGTATGGATGGACGGTGTGCGTGTTTCCATTTTTGCCTTGCTCTGTGCATACTTGGCTTAATTAAGGCTTGCTGGAGCTCTCACTCCATCTCATTAGAGCCCTACGCAAGTGGAGAAGAATCTTCAGCCTCCAAAAAGGGTAAAAATACCACCGGCCCCCCATGGGACAACAAGGATGAGACAATACCTCACAAAGAAGGCCTTGAACAAGCTAAATGGGACTTGTGTTCTGTAGAGATCAAGCTGCCTTTCTGAAATAGTTAAAACAATTGTACTGATGCAATCACTATTTAAAAATTTGCCTCCAGATGTTACATTAGAAATGAAATGTCAAGAAGTTGAATTGACTGAATTGAAATTCAAAAAACACACAACAGAAATGTCATTAGCAAAACATGATTTTTGCTATTTATGTAATATAATATAATATAATAAAGTGATCTGCTCTGTACATGCTTCATTTATTTAAAAATGCATACATCATTGCCTTTATTTTTTGATTCCTTAAAATAAATATTAAAAACTATAAATTACAAAATATCAAAACTTATATAAACTAAATAAAATTTATTTGAAAAATGTAATGTTTATGATTATGATAACGTTTATTAATTTATTCTGAAAAATCAAATGTATTATAAAAAAAATACACATATAGCAGTTATACAAGTCGTATTGTAATTACAATTCTGCATCCTGTTTATCTCAATTCAACTTTAATTCAGAAACCAAACTGGAATTAATGGAATAGTTCACCAAAAAAATTAGCATTTGCTGAAAATGTACTTACCTTCAGGCCATTCAGGATGTAGATGAGTTTACTTCTTCACCGGAACAGATTTGGAGAAATTAAGCACTACACAACTTGCTTTGTTTTGGATTTGTTTCTTACAAAGGCAGTAATGCAAAATTTCTCCAAATCTGTTCCGATGAAGAAACAAACTCATCTACATATTGGATGGCCTGAGGGTGAGAACATTTTCAGCAAATTTTCATTTTTGGGTGAACTGTTCCTTTAAATTGCCATTTTAAATTCAGTTTTGAATGACGCACAACTCTGAAGTGATCTTTTGTGAGGTCTTGACAGGCATACATTAAACTTTCAGAAAAGACAGACAACCTGACAGGAAAACGGACATCGAGGAAAACAGTGTGGTGGACAGTCTGGATGAGCTACAGCCTCAGCAGCCGTTGGCTAGGACGAAAGCTCTCTGGAGGAGTCTATACATCAACCACAATATCCTCCCCTCCTTCACCGGCTCCCTCCTCCCTTTACAAGACAACCCGTCCTGGCCACTTTTTCCAGGTCAGTGCCCCGCTCCTCTTGTCAGCGTAAACAAAGAGCCAGAGCTGTGAAGCCCAAAGTCAAACAGGGAGGAACCAGGCACCAAAGGAGTCTGTATGCCACTACGCAACCAGAGCAGGCAACGCAGCCTGAATTTGGAAACAGTTGCTAAGCACTGGGACTAGTAAAAGGAGAAGTATGAAGAAAACTCTTCACACTTAATTAAGTGACACTTAAGTATAAGTCTCCAGTGCCTTGTGGTTTACTGGCTGCATCTGTTTTGAGATTGTTGATAAAGTTCAGAATTCTAGCTAAAACTAACTACAATTTTTGTTTGTATTTAGCTGAGTAAAGGTTGTTAATGACAACAAATACATTTTGACTTTTTTGTTTGCAAAAGAAAAGTGAAACAGTTGAATGATGAATGATAATCAAAAAAACTTCAAAACACTTGCTGAAACTAGCTCTTAAAAACAAACAAATCTTTCAGCTTTTGTTTATATCTGGTTGTGTGAAGGTTGTTGTATTTGTTTGTGCAAATACAAAACAACATCATTTCATCCTGCTGGTTAGACAAGTGCTGTAAAAAAAACTATTGATCAGAGTTTAAAAGACAAAGCTTTAAAGTCCTGATAAAACAAGCTACTTAAAAAAATACATATTTGGTTACGTAAAGGTTGTCTATAAATAAACATGTTTGTTTTAACAAACAAAGTGAAACGGTTGCATCCAAGTCAAAATTTCAGGATTTGCTCAAACCAGCTACTGCAAAAAGAAATAGCTATGAGTGTTGGATTATATTTGGCTGTGAAAAAAACAGATAAGTACTATCGAAAGCTGTTGATAATCAGAGTTCAAAATTTTCAGAAAAAGATCAAGACACTTGCTAAAACTAGCAGCTAAAAAACTAACATTATGTAATTTAGTTTATATTTGGTTGCACATCAATTTAATAAACATGTTCATTTGTGCAATCAAAGTGAGACATGGATTGACAGAAGCTGTTAATAATTTAAAATTAATACTTGCTAAAACTAGCTACTAAAAGCTAGTTGAAAGATGAATTTTTATATTTAGTCGTTTAAAGTTTGTTAATATGTTTGTTTGCACAAACAAAGTGACACAGTGGACAGATTTGACTGTTAGTTTTAGAACACTTACTAAAACTAGCTCTTAAAAACAGACAAATCTTTCAATTTCATTTATATTTGGTTGTATAAAGGTTGTTAATAAATAAATGTGTTTGTTTGTGCAAACAAAGTGAAACAGTTGCATCCTGCTGCGTGTGATGGAGGGAAAGGCCAAGCGGAACAGGGCCTCTGAGAACACGTTGGTACCATGTGGCGTACACCGGATCCTCAGCGCCAGTGGGCAGAAACCCAGCAACGTGCCAACCCACAGACAACCCGCCGGAGACGGCAACAGTTGGGGACTGGCGGGTGGGGCGGGAAGTGAGAGAGAGAGAAGAAAGAAAACGGAGGGAGAAGAGGAAAGCGGAGAGGAAGAACTCTAGCTGCCCGTAAGCTTAACGCAGATTTGTTTTATACAGTGTTTGCTTTGTGCTTTGTTTTATTCACAAAACTTCCCCTCTCTCTTTCCGCCCTGGTTCTTTTCTCAGTGTTTTTGAGGCACACCCACATACACAACAGATACACACACACACAAAACATTTTCCTAGAGGCCATTGATACTGTCCTAGTTTCCCCTCTCAGCGCTCTGGGATTGCTGAGAGTTGCAGAAGCGCAGCCACCCTTGTGTCGGTGCCATCTGAGTCCTAAACAAACACAGGGCACTGGTGCCAAGCTCTGTTGGAGGCCTCATCTGAAAGAGTTGTTAAAATCTATCCTCAGGGTAGGCCGAAGGATTCACGGCTTTTAGCTGGCCAGAGGAAGAGCAGAAATAAAACCAAACCTTATCAATAAATTAAGTTACTGCCTTTTGGGAAGGAAAGAAAAAAAAAACATAATTTACTTTTTAAATGTTCAATTTTGAGTAAAACTGCAATTTTACAATGTATAACAAGTCTCCAGCAAGTTGGAAACTGAAACCAAATGCAGATTTATTTCTACAACATGAATATATATTAACTACAAAAAACAAGAACTTACCAATCAATACCTCATCACTGAACAATGTTTGATATAGGATATGAGAAACTTGAAGCTTGAATACACTGAAGCTAAAGGGCAAACAAACTAGGAGGCAAGAGAAACAAATGAGAACCAATCACAGAACAAAACTAATCTACAGATTTAACCAGATAAATGAACCAATGACAATACAGTCCATGCCTGAACACAAAAGAAGTGTGAAAACACAACCAAGTTTCAAAATAAAATACATGACATGAGTTTGTGTACTAACCCTAAAAATGTACAAATCATCACTGTAGGAAATGTTAAATATCATGATAAGGTAAAATGTCACGGTAAAAAAAAATATTACAATTAACAAGCAAATACATGAAATGTTATTGCAAAATTATTATAAATGTAAAATGTGTGAATTACCTTGTGATTTGTAGATAAAAACAGTAAAACTGTATGTTTCCTGATATTTTTGTTATGATTTACTGTAAAAAAAAAAATTTGTAATTTTTGATTTAAAAATGGTACTTAACTTCTTTTTTTTACATTTAATAGACAATCAATGTAGTTTTACTGTAGTATACAGTACAAAAATATAAATTACAATTTAATTTATAGTGAAGATTTATATTACTTTTAAAAAGAAAATTCATGTAACATTACAGCACTGCTAAAATTATTTTTTGTAAGTAAAAAATACGGTAATGGAACTGTAAAGACATTCCCAGATGTTCCTGAATGACAAATTACATTTGATTTTATTTGAGTTAAATACTTATTTTTCTCCTCATTGTATTCAGTTGTTATTGGATTTTTAGATTACATTTTATGCTGTTTTTTATCACATTTTTTTAGTGTACATTTAACTGGATTAATGACTGCCTATTATATTCTTATTTATAGATTTATGGTTCCAAATCACACACATATTCGGCAATTGCAAACTCACAATATAGTAGCCTGCTGGAGGTTCTTTCTTGGATGCCAGCACACCAATATCAGTTATGGCTTCAGGCTGCAACTCTGCTTTACCACAAGAAATGTTCTGAAGATCTGCCATGCTTGCTGTGTGAAACAAATAAAAGTTGCATTTACACATACAATTATAATAGTTACAATAATTTATTTTTATAGTAAAACGAAACAGCTCACACATCCCACTAACACACAGTACTGGGAATAAATAAAGACTAAAACACAGAAAGAAAATGCAGAACACTTTGAGCTGTTGACAAGGTGTACATTTATTATCACCAGAGCATCCATAAAGACTTGAGCAGCTAATTTTATTTTCATATTAAAACAATCTATAAATATATTAAGACTCTTGTTGTGTTTCCAAGCTTTTGCTTTTTTGCTTGACGTAACTAGCTGGCAATCAGAGCACAGCTTCTCAAGTACATTATTAAAAAATAGGTTTGGCAGACAAAGACACAACACAGACCCACACACATATGCACAGGTGGAATCAAAGACAGAGTGAGAGATAGAAAGATATAAATATATCAAAATAAACTCTCTCATAAAGGCTTTTCAGTACCAGACTGAACTCTCAGTGTCAGTAAACTGAATGACAGTCATTGTGCTAATAGCTGAGCGTATGAGCCCCCTAAAGCCAGAGAAACAATCACGCGGCAGGTCTCGTTTGTACACTAAATAAGCTGCACAGACACAGACAATAATACTGCTGAGGGCCCAATTAGCAGGGTAATTAATTACTGCAAACCTTTTTTCCCCTGTAATGAGCTTCAGATATATGGAGTGGGCTGACATTATGTTCTGAACTGTTTCAGATGAAATGGTTTTAGTGGCGGTTGTATATAAAGATGAGCGATCTTCATTCTCGCATTAAAGAGTGGGAGTAAACTTTTCACTGCGTAAATGCCACCAGCAAATCTCTGGAAATGAGGTAGCGCTTGCAATAGTTATGGCCTCTTCTCTATTTAGTGTTGTCTTGTACATTTATAGAGATGTGCATTACAGAATGCTGTTTAAAATGTTTTCCGTTAGATATGCAAAAACATTAGGATATTTATCTACAAAGCTTAATGCATTATGGTGGGAATTTACTAAAAATGAATTGTGCAAAAGAATGGCAATGTTATTTATTTGCACTTGCTGTCTGTGTTGTTTTAGAGCATGATTCACTAAAGGAATTACGCAAATCAGGTAAATATGCAAATGCATTCACTAAATTAAAATAAAGACACCTGAAACAGCTGTTTAAATGGCAAAAAATGTGCTTGTCTACACTGCACTATAATTTGCTAATTTACATAGAAAGGATGCATGGTTGCCCTGTAAAAAAAAGATATATAATTTAAATGCTATTTAAAGGGATAGTGAATGACTATTCTGTAATCATTTATTTACTCTCATGTGTTCTGTACAACACAAAAGAAGATAATATGAAAAACGACTTCTCACAATGAAAGTTAATGGGGTCCAATTTTGCCTGGACCTCATTTAGTTTTAAAACATATTCTTTTGTATTTCACAGAAGAAAGAAAGTCATTCAGGTTTGGAACAACATTAAAGGGATAGTTCACCCAAAAATGAAAATTCTGTCATCATTTACCCTCATGTCGTTCCAAACCTGTATGAGTTGCTTTCTTATGTTGAACACAAAAGAAGATATTTTGAAGATTGCTGGTAATCAACCAGTTGGTGGTTGCCATTGACTTCCATAGTATTTTTTTTTCCTACTACGGAAGTCAATGGCAACCACCAACTGCAAGAAACACAGCAGGTGGCGCCTATGAACAGGGTTGCCAGGTTTTCGCAATAAAACTAGTCCAATCGCGTTTCGAGGAGGGTTCCCCTGTAAAAATCGCATTCCGGGGGTAAAATACACGTTTTTCGGCGGGGATCTTCCAGTAAAATTCACATTCTAGGGGCTAAATATCACGTTATTGGGGTCGCTTCAACCCGCGGACATGAACAACAACCCGCGGCAACAGTGTTAAGTAGCCCAACTCCGCGGGAAAACCGCGGACTTGGCAACACTGCTTATGAACCGCCAGCAATATAGCGTTTCCTTGGTTACCGCTGTAAACAAAGCAGAGCAGCGCTTTATACGGAGAAGAAAATGCCATCGCCATCGAAACTTTTCTCAAGACAGTTCCCTTCAGTGATACATTAATATAACCCCAGAAATGTAATGCATTTTTGTACTTATTTTACTGTTATTTTCGGGATCTACTGGGACAGTGATAAATATCTACCAGTCGATCGCGATCGACGGGTTGGCGACCACTGCTTTAAGGTGAGTAAATTAGTAAAATAGTAAAAACTATTTTTTTTTAAGTGCTATATCATGTATATATACTATGTCTAAATGTAAATGTAAATATTGTTGCATTTAACATCTGGTTAGACTGGTAGTTTATATGTAATATATTGTTTTTGTGTTAAAATTCTGAACACAAAAACATGACGCAACTGCCTAGCTCACCTCTAAGACAAAGAACTAAACAGATAAATGTGGTACACCTTTAAGGCTTTGAATGATAATAGGCCTATGTTAAGACCCAGTGGACCCAACACAAATGACCGGAGATGGAGTAGCAATACAAACATAATTAGGCTCCACCAAGTGAACTCTCTCTAAACAACAAGCCATGGCGATCAGATATTTTCTAGGAAATCTAGATCAATCGTTGTCTATTTTCGTCCCGAGATGCTTCAGCCTAATGTGTACGCATGGATCACCAAGGATTAGTGACTAGCCTATGTGGAGGGTCCTTTGCCCTTTTATTAAATTACGTTTAAAGCAACCTACTGGAGTAAATGACAGAGTTATTGCATTCAATCTAAATGTTTACCGAATTTATTGCAATTATGGTTATTAAATCTACAGGATTTACTGAGGCAGTGGAGGGTCTGTGAATAAAAAGTCAGTCGGAGGGACTTATTAAGGAGAACCGAGGATGGCAAATTAGCTTATGGAGGGAGAATGATTTCTTTCTTGTGTTAATTTGTACACTAATCAATGCAGCCTTTTCCTAACTGTGCTGGGCTATTTGATTGTAAAGCAACTTTAATTGAAAAATGGAGGCCAGGCTGTCCAGACTGGGGACGACTTTCTGTGGCACTAATGATGCACACTCATCTTATAGTGTCTTTATGTTAAAGATGAAAGAGGATGGAGCGGATCAAGCTTGCATTGCAACAGATGAAGGAGAATTAGTAAAAGCAACCTGCCACATGTTTGAGGACAACATCAAACCATTGCATATGAAAATACTCAGAGAGAATGAATGGCCATTGTCAAATCTACCTACTTATGAACATAACATGGGCCTACTTACATAAATTAACACAGGATAAATAACAATAACTAATAAATATTATTTACCAGACAGTACTGTTATTAAAGCATTTGCATACAAAATGTACTTTTGACTTTAAAGGGACTAAAAACGTTTATGTATTTTACACAGAGTTGTCAGCTATGTGTAAAAGTGACTGTTTTGATTTCATGTGAACATTTTACACGGCTAGCCTATGACCAGAGCTGTTTAATTACAGTGTTCCTACTGAAAATTATATTTAAATCATTAATAAATTAAATCAAATCAAGATAACTCTATATCTATGACGAGATCACTAGTAAATACATGTAAAACATGTTAGTGGTCACATTGGTGAGAACACGTTGAAACTGACTGACGTAAGTGACGTTCCTATTGAGCAACTGATTTTTTTTTCATTCTGTAGATTCTTCTAAACCTATTGTTTTTTTTTTCTATAACTGTCTTTAAATGGTATTTGTTCTGTTTATACGCTTTCAAATTATTTAAATCAATACGAGTCAGCCTTTTACAAAGTTATGAACATTTTAAAAAATAAGTCCAGTTGGTTAAACGATCATTGGAATCAGCATTTCACTGTCATAACTACTATAAACGAAAGTGTCACTTATTTGCGTCTTCCTTTACCCGCACGCGATTTATACGTCGTAACGTCATCACAGCCGATCAATTTGAAGGATTAAACTATGCGAGTTAGTCGTTTTTGCTTACCTGAGGGAACCAAACAGCACAGATTGCGTACGCGAATATCACTACTTACGATGATGACATACTCAACCTTACACCGTCCTTTTCACTTCCGCAAGTATTATCGATGTGACAAATTATTGACTAGGAATGTTGAGGTAAGGATCAAGAGTGACACCTGTTGTATACTTCTTACCTAATAGGAGATGCAGATCTTTTACATTTATATAGCCCCCGTCCTGAGACGGAAAACGTGAAAAAAAAAAAAAAATATATATATATATATATTACACCGTCCTTTTCACTTCCGCAAGTATTATCGATGTGACAAATTATTGACTAGGAATGTTGAGGTAAGGATCAAGAGTGACACCTGTTGTATACTTCTTACCTAATAGGAGATGCAGATCTTTTACATTTAAATAGCCCCCGTCCTGAGACGGAAAACGTGAAAAAAAAAAAAAATATATATATATATATAATTCTAAGTAGGCTATTGCTGCATATTATTATTTGTCCAGTAGGCCTATTTATAACGCTATCTAATGTTGTTTTGATATGATGTGAACATGTTTATTTTACCCAGTATTACGAGTTAAAATCAAGCACAGCACATTTCCTATTTGCACGCAAAATGTTGAATGAAGTTTATCAGATATACTATTGGTAAAATAATAATACAATAATACAGTTTTAGACATTGTCAATACATGAGTAGGCCTATCACTAATAAACAATATGCATTTAGTATCAATTTTTTTTCCTTGAGCAGTTTACATCTTGTTATTTTTAGTCCTGTTGTAATTATGAACATGAAATGTGTATAGTATAGAATACTTATCCATGTCCAGTATACTTCACATGTGTTTTCTGGCAATTTAATAGCTCTGTCAACGATTTGGAGCATCATTCTCATATATTATGATGTAATATGGCCTCTACACACACACACACACACACACACAAAGAGATATTTAAACACTAATCATTAAAATAACATTGTTCCTCAGAAAACACTGTTCCATTAAGACATACAAATTATTTTCTATGTTTTCATTCATTAAATTTAGGCCAGAAACATTGAAATTCCAGAAAATAAATATTCCACAATACAATCCTTGCATAGTAGAAGATGAATAATCTGTGTACATGAGTAGGGAGGCTCATATACCCTCGTGAAGCACAGCGAGGTGGAACAGATTACGCCACAGCCAATTGCTTGGCATAAGAATACATCAGTCTGCATCGTCTAATGGCAGACGCACAATGGCATAATCCTGATGGATTTGACTCTGTCATTGCCTTGAAATAAGTTTCAGAGAAGAGAAAGAACACAGAAACAACAGCAAAAAGCATCTGTTATCAACCCAGTGTTCTGCTGGAGCTAATAATGCACAATAAGATCAAACACACAGGAACTAAACAAGATTTAATGAACATAATAAGGTAATGAGACCTCTTAAGCTCATCATCATTCATGGAAAACTGACAATGAATCAATGCCCGTGGCCCAGAGCAGGCGCCTGCCGGTAGTGTACACTACAGACATGTCAATGAGAGACTAATGGATGCCATCTCAACTGAGACTTGCTGTGTCAGTTTGGCTCGCAACCAAACCGCCCAAAAGCTGGAGAAATGCGCGTGGCAGATAGCGAGAGCACTACATGTGTTTCATGTCAGAGCGTGTATACAGCGCCGAGGCACGTCAGGTCACGCTGCAGCAGTGCCACCTGCTAAGTTTCACTATGCGTAGTGTGATATAATGAGCCTTTGTCAATATTTCCAAGCCCGTTGAGATGCTAAAGAAGCATGCAAGTCATCCCAAAACAGTATGGCACTGTACATAGTAAAAGCTATTTCTTTGGTAACTGTACAGCAGCTAACACAGGCTGTCAAGCGATATCTCATGCACTTTCTGCAGTACAAACATCTCCACTAACTCCCCGAGCTGTTCTCCTTCATCCTGCTGTGTTATAGTGTCAGCTGAACTTCTCAATGTCACACCTGACTCTCCTGACAAGGTGGAAAAAAAAGACTACAAGCTTTCCTCTAACACCTCAGCTAGATTTCACAGACAGGCTGAAGTTGATGAAATAAAACGTGGAGTGTGGAGAGATGTTTTCAGAAGGAAGGAGGAAAGCGGGGAAGTGGCACACCTGTTAAAGTAATAGTCTAATTATGGAAAAGGTGGTGAAGCACTCAGCGCGAAACAGTCAGCGATCAGCATTCTCACACTAACTGTGAAAGCCGTCAGCCATTATAGGCTGGTTTTAATGCACGCCCCGATTCATGCTGGGGATTTGTGGGTAAGATGAATGATGCCCGCATGTGTGAATGCATGTGTGTGTGTGTGTGTGTGAGATGGGGGTGGAGATGGTCCGCTGAGCGATGCAGATGGTACATGGGAGGGGGGATCATTAGATATGAGGGTGCTTTGTTTGCAGTGCTGCAATTCTTACATTCCAATAAACCGCCTCTTCAGGTCCAGTAAATGCCACTGGTACAGTTCACTTTCACGGCCCTAAACTTCCTACAAAAGACCTTGTGAAAGGTACTGGATAATAAGGAGTTGCAAAATTCACGTAATCCTGTTTAAATGTCATGGGGCTCAAGCAAACAATGAAATGGCATGTTTACATCTATAGAGCATGTGCTGTCGGAATCTGTGGCTTTAGGAAGTTCTCAAATTTCCGCAAAATGGGAATGCCCATCATGCACATGTTTCTATGCATCCCATGTGGAAAATAAATCTTCTTTTTAAAAATATTTTGGTATAATGTGTCTAGCTACTAACAAGAGTATAAACTCTCAGATCTGTTTATGTCCATTTTATCACATGCAAATCTTTTTAAACAATTTGCCAGATTTTCACAGTAAAGTAGTGCAGAATATGCAGAAAAGTTTGCAGATTTCTTCTTCCACATCCAGAAGCCCAAACAAGAGTTTCTGCATCCCCATCCAAAGAGATAACGCTGCCAAGATTAATGAAATTCGTCACTTTCTCCACCTGTTGTCCACCGATGGTAATCGGGACTCTTAAGTTTGCATGAATGAGACTTTGGTCTTCTGTCCACTGATTCGGAGTCCAGCCCTGGCCGCTTGATTTTCTAGGGCCATAGTGAGATGTCATAGGGCAGTTTGGGCCAGGTCAAAAATGACAATATCATCGGCAAAGTCGAGATTGGCAAGGAGGAGGTTGTCACCTGTCCAGGCCAATGTGTAGGTACTAGGCAGTCGATGGAATGGTGGCAGACAAAGTCGATGAAAAGGAGGAATAGCATCTGTGAAAGCATGCAACACAGGGCTCGCAAAATTTCAAAATCCCTGGTAGCCCTTTGGGCAGGCATTCTTCAGATTTTGTTAGCCCAAAAATGAATTTAACTAGCCCGAATAAGAGAGAGAGAGAGTAGGGGTGCAACGGATGACAAATCTCACGGTTCGGATTATATTACATTATCATATCACATTTTGAGTCACAGATCGGATCATTTTTCAGATGAGCAATATTATTTAAAGAACAATTTACTACTTTGATACCACAGCAAAAGCTAGTAGCATATAAGGATGTAACGATTCACTCAACTCATGATGTGATATGATTCACGATACTGATTTCACAATACAATTTTCTCAAAATTTCTTTTTTAACAAAATGAGATTTAAAACAGATTTAAAGGCACAATATGTAAGATTTTTTCATTAAAATATCCAAAAACCACTAGAACAGTGTTATATATTTTGCTGACTTGTGTACTTACATTATCCCAAATGTTTCGAAGAATGTTTAAATCCAGAGAAATAAGTAATTTTAACTAGTGACACGGACCGTGTCCATAGTGTCATTGCGTCGCCTGCCAATGACGTCATAACCCCTCAATTTCCGGTTTTGTTTTGTAGAAAACATGGAAACACCAAAAATGCCTTAATATGTTGTGCGTTTTATTAGACAGGTGACCAGCCAGCAAAAACTAGTAGCATATAGGGATGTAACGATTCACTAAACTTACGATGCATAAAATTCACGATACAGATAACACGATACCATTTTTTTATTGTATTTATTTGTATTTTATTTATTTCTTATTTATATATATATATATTTTTTTTTACAAAATGAGATTTAAGACAAATTATAAATGGAAAGGTGTCCTTTTATTATTTCTCAGACAAAATGCATATTTTGCATTTTTCTTTGTGAAATTGAAATGTTAAATAACAAAACTAAATTTAAATTTTAAAACAAATCCCAAATCAAATAAAAA